CTGGAGATAAAAACAAAAGCCATCATTGGAGCAAAGTCCTTTTACAAGGCTTAAATATCTTTGGAGAGGAAGATATTTTTCGGTAGAAAACCCAAAGTCTAATCTTCTAATGTCAATAATTCGTTGAAAGGATAACAATACGAACAATACTTCAGCTGGAAAAAAGTCTTGCTTAGCTGGAGATACTGGAAAACCACCCTCTGATGATGTGTGCAAAACATATCACACATCTTGACAAATCTGGATTGCCCCTGGGACTAATTTTGGATGCCCCAAGTTTATTGCTGATAAGCTGCGTGATGCACGACAATTCTTGCAAATAACTTCAATTCTAAAATGCCCCAAGCTATATGGATGATGAGGAGAAATCGTCTCAAGAGGATTTTACAAAAGACCTGGCATCCACCATGCTCTGGTGTCTTCAAACTCTTAGAGAGATTCATTGAATCTCGACGTGATTACCCCGATTTGACTGTAGTTGGCACAACAAAGTCTTCAAATTTTGCCCCAATAGGGTAAACAAGTTGGAGAAGCATTAACTGGGAGAAGCAACATGTCTGTGCTTAAGGTCTTCATGTGGCATGCCTCTGGATATGATTTTTTTGAAATGATTCGCCAATTGCTCAACATAGTTTCAGGCCTTAAAAGAATAAACTCATCGCTAGTGCTTATATGTGAGCTTCCTTGATACCAAACAAATGTTTTGCAGTTAGAAAAAGTTTATTATGAGAATGAAAATTCTAATGCAACAGTTATGTAAGTCTTGAAGGTTTTGAAAAGATATCCCACAAATTTTACGAGTTAGAGCACCATTTATTTTTTGTATAGGAAAAACAATATGATACCAACATAACTATTTAGAACATTCATGGGAGTCAGGAACACTATCTCATTGAAGTATGCTTTCAAAATAACCTTGCTTCAATTAGGACTTTTGAAGGTTGTAACGTGGTCTGGTTCATGGTTTTTAGAAAAAAGATTTTAAGGCTCAAAATATTTGGTGCCCACCCATTCTTCATGATGTTCTCCAACCCTATGTTCAGTTAATTCGACATGAATGTTCATCTCTCAAAAGGATTTTGTGATGGTCAAGGAAACAACGAGGCTTTCGGAGTAGAAACCACCCTCATGTCTTCGTGTTTGTAGTCACCAATTTGCTCTTTGCCGAGGACTTTTCTTTGTAGTCTTTTCTTTGCAATTTTTATTTTCCCTAATTTTTGCCTGAACTAATTTTTGAATTGATAGTCCAGCGGGATGCCTTAATTTTGCCTAAGTCACACGTTTTCATGTTTTTTTTTGACTTAGCAGGCTTTTCTTTTTCTTGATTTTTGACTTTTTGAACAAAATGTGTGACATTAGCTTGTCTTTGCTTGTTGAGAGGATTGTGATTGCCTCGTTTCTTGATGAGTGAGGGATAACATTGTGGTTCCACATCCTCTAGATTCATTATACATGAAGGATAGCCCTCGTAGTTTCTCTTCAAAAAAACATCTTCCTTATGAATTTTGAACACTCAGTCAGATTAACTAAAAACTATCCTGCCCCAGGTTAAAATTCAAGGTTTTTTCGTATAGAAAAGAAACTTCTGCTTCAAAGGCTCAAAAGGGGTTAGCAAGGGATTATCTTCCTTATATCTCCGGTGTTTAGGGATTTGAAACAATGCATGTACATCATCAGCAAGATTTTATCCAAAAGCATACAACCAGAGATTTTGTGTTTTTTAGATCATCATCCTCCCTTCAATCTCTGCCTAGGCAAGAGAATGGGCAACAAGTTGGTATCATAATACCAAAAGAAATTTAAAATTTGAAAACAAATATGAGTGAAACGAATGAATTTCTTCAAGACAAACATACTCATTGTATTAAGATAATCATACAGATGCAAACAAGTTCTTACATGCAAACAATGTTTTGATAAACAAGAAAAATTACAAAAAGCAGAAATAAGTTAATGATCGGGGAAAGCTTTCCATCTGGATGCAAAAGAGAGTTTTTATTTGATTTTCAAGGAACTCAAGATATTAAGTTGTAAACATCAAAGTATGAAGATAGAAGATGAATTTTAAATTGGCTCCAAACATTGATCAAGTTATCATCAAGATCAATCATCCATTTTGGTGGATTAGGGTTTTCGCCCTATCAACACCCAAGATCCATTGAGCTTGACGAAACTTGTGATGTTTACAAAGAAAGACCTCCAAATTCCTTCAAAGTCAAGTGAAAAGAGTTTTATGGATGCATGAATGCATGGCTATGCAACAACCACAAGCAAGGTCACAAATAAAGTCGAAAGGTTCAACGTCACGAGCATGGAGTCAAGGTAAAGAACACCCCCAAGGTATGTACTAACGGTTTAATCACACCTGTAGAACAAGGTTCTAAGAGTTCCCGGAGTCTACATTCCTCCTTCGGATATTACCAACGTCTTGATTACTCAATAATCAGCAATATTCTCAAGAGAAACTCATCCGAGCGTAGCATCGCGTAACAATTACTTCCGGATTACTCTGTTATAATCTCCACGCTACACCTAAAAGGCCAAGATGGGTTAGGGTTCTACGGTTCCCTGCTTCTCTGGCTCCCAGGTCAAAAATAATAATGTCTTCCCGATTACTCGGTAAACAAATATTACATTCAAAAGGGCCTTCCACTGAGTGGGGGATCTCATGCCTCCTTCTTCGGGATTACTCCCTCAAAGTTAACATGACTATACCGCCCGTCCTATTCCTAAGTGTAACTTAGTCCGGGTATAGGACTTGTCCTTTGTAAATATTATCAACACCCAAATAATCATAATATATACATATAATCAAACAATCAAATAATGATAAAACAGATAAAACAAATTAGGCTTAACCCACTTAGGGATGGATCAGCAAGAGGTCAATCTATTCCCCAGCAGAGTCACCAATTCTGTAGCGGTGAAAATCGGAGATCAAGCTATTAATTAACTTGACTCGCAAAAGCAAGAGTCGCCACCGCGCTTTATTATTTCCAAGGGAAAAGGGAAAAGAGCGAAATAAAACCCTAAAGTATGCAATGTAAATTAATATTTAAAAATAATGAAAATACAATGCGTTTTTAAAAGAGATCGAGAGTTCGGGGGTTGATTATACAATGGGAAGGTGCTAGCACCCAATGCATCTGCGGTACTCCGCAGGAACCTTTTGAAATATCTGTTTTTTGGTTAAAAATTGTTTGTTTGATTAAAATGGTTCGTTTGGCTAAAAAATGGGTATGGACGAGATTTTGAAGATGCGACGACCTAGTGTCGAAGTTTTGACTTAAAAGGTGTGAGTTTGAAAATGGAGTCTTTTGGGAAAATTATCTTGAGTTTAGCAAAATAGTAAACAAACAAAAAAATGAAAAAAAAGGTATTCGCACGATCGGATGAGATGTATTTGATGACGTGAAGTCAACAAATTTAAATCTTTCCCTTGGAGTTAAAACCACAGACGAATAAATAAGCTAAGAGTATATCAAACCTTAGGTGAAAATAAATCACAAGCCGACAGCATCATCAAAAAAACTTAATGTGAGATAATACTCCAAGCATCAGATAAAGCGGAAAGGCGGTGGATAAAGCTCACGGTGTCAGATAAGAATCCCTGCATCACAAGAAATATACCGACGAAATCTAACAGCATGGGAAACTTATGTGCGTTCGCACAATTTTCAGAAGTTAGTTGGAATTAAAAATAAAATCACAATGCGATGAAAATAATATTTTCAAAACCTGAATTTATTTACAAGTAAAATATACAGTCGAAATATTATGTACAAGTATATATTTACAGTACCAAATATTAAATCAGAATAGTAAAATAAAATAAAAAGGTAAAAGGGAGAAGTGTAAGAGTTATTGATGCTATGTGAGAATGGATACTTGAAACGATTTTCGAAAACCTTCACAGTAAGCAAACTCGTTAGTAGCATAAGCGGTATAAAAATTAAAATGAATGAAATCGCAACAATTAAAAACTTTGTTAGAAATCACAAAATAAAGAAATGAAATGAAATTGTATGAATGCACATGAATATTTACACAAATAAAATCAAGAATTCATGACATTATTCCATGTAAACACAAAAAATCAACATTGTGCACATTATTTCAAATGTATCAAAAGCAACCGCTATTTCAAGCACAACGGAAAACAAATACCCAAAACTCACTTTGCAACATGAGAAATTGTCTTCAAAACATGAACCAAATAAATGATGATTACTCAAAGTACCCAACAAAAATCAACATGGCATTCAATGTTCTAAACACATTTAAACTCAAGTAAACACAATGTTGAACATAGTCATCAATTCATTTGAGATTCACATTGCAATTTACATCTTATATACAAGAAGTTAGAAATGATTCATATGCATACACATTATGTACAATAGAACCACTTTGATAAACTAAAAATTAATATAAACTAATTGAATAATAAATTAAATATTTAAAATTTTAGAGACTTATCTATGAGAGAATAAATTAACTAGACTATAAATAATAAAATAAAAATTAATTTAGAAAGGAAGATAAGAAAAAAACAAACAAAATCAAACCACCCCATTTTCTTTAATAGTAAAACTAAAATACAATTGAACATCTCGTGACTTTTCAAAATCATATGAAAACAAATAATCCATGAAAAGTAGTATATGGTAAAGCATGAAAACTGTTATGAACATAAACCAGTAGAAAACATATTAACAGACCAAATCCAAAGAAAACTTCTTCACTCTTCTTTCAAAATTTTATCGGCTTCTATATTTTACAATCATCAATCCAGCTCATAATTTGTGTCGATTTATGAGAAGATATTTGAATTCACATATTGAAAAAACAACATACTAAAAACATTTCAAGCTTCTCATAAATTTAACATCTAAAATATGTTATCAACACAAATTCATTATCAATTAATTTCACATTGAGCATAATGACATCAACACTATCTAGCATAGTCATCTCCGCAGACAAAGGCAAAATCAAAATCATTTAACTTGAACAAACACAATTAGCAAAGAGATCGAAACATATCGAAAAGCCGAAACTAGAAATTGATGGTGCTGGAAATCGCGGAATAAATAAGATGGTAATGCCATTCCATTATGTGGTTCTAAAGAACTTGAAGAAAATTTTCCTTTCCTTGGCCACAACCAAATCTTCGAAATTGAAAAACTTTCGCCTTTACTAACATTACTAATCTTCTTTCCTTCCAAATCACTTTTCCACACACAGATACTCACCATTTTCAATTCCTTTGTTCATCGTTCTATCTTGATGAATTTTACTTTCATGGTTTAATGCATCTAAAGTTACCACATTTTGCATACATATCCACCAAAGCAGACAAAACATACAACTGCAATCCAAATCCCAACTTGAAGGCAAGACCATGCATCTGTTTCCCTTCCACAACAGCACAAAGGTCACTACAAGCATTAACCACCCCAACTAAAGTAAACTCAGAAGGCAACACTCCCGAAGAATGCATTCTATTAAAAAGTATCAAAGCTTTATCACAATCCCCACTATGCACATAACCAGTAACCATAGCCGACCAGGTAATAGAATTCTTATCCCCCGAAAATTCAAAAGTCCTAACCGCATCATCAAGCCTACCACACTTAGCATACATCGTCACAAGAGTATTTGCAGCCTTTGCAACCGAGACAATCAACCCAGTTTTAACCGCAAGCGAATGAACCTGCCTACCAGTCCCCACAAACTCACAACTCGTCAACGCCCTAAGAACACTAGTAACTGCAAACTCATTCTCAACCTCTTCCTCACGTCTCATAAGTTCAAACACCTCAACCGCCTTATCAGCAAGACCGACAAAAGCATACCCATATATCATAGTAGCCCAAGAAACAGTATTTCTTTCAGGCATTCTATCAAACAGTTTCCGAGCATCAAAAACAAAACCCGTTTTACAATACATATTAAGCAAAGAACTCCCAACATAAACATCGTCCAAGTAAGCTGTTTTCACAGCAACATAATGAGCTTGTCTGCCAGCAGCTACATCATATAGATTAGAAGCAGCAGAGAAAGCGTTGATTCACGGTTGAAACAAAAGCGGAGCGGGTTGCTGTAAGGTGGGTTACGGTGATGTATAGAGGTGAAGTGGTGTAGAGAGGGTGAGTTGCGGAGAAGATGAAATGGAATATGCTGTTTGGGTTTTTTTAGACGAAGCGGAAATTGAAATTGGGAGAGGGAGTTAGATAGAAGATGGATTGTTGTTGGAATGGGTTGTAGTGAGTGGGTTAATGGGTTTTTGTTGGTACAGAAGATGGAAAATAGAAATGAAGGATTCATGAGTAGGAGTTAAAGGGATGGTGATGTGGTTGAAGAGATGATGGTTATGTGGCGAGGAGGTTAGCAGGCAGAGGATGAACAGGGGAGGTGACGGTTTCTGTGAAGAGAAGAAGAAGAAGTTGGGAAATGGGGTATGGTGTGGAGAGAGGTAAAGGGAATTTGGTTTACATTAATTGAAGGGGGGTTAATTACTGTGTTGGTTTTGGTTGGTGTTTTTTGTTTTTCCCCCCTTCCCACAAAGGTAAGAAATGAGCTACTAAATAGAAGAAGAAAAAAGAAGAGGAAATTATTTCAGTTTGCAATCTGATCCGTTCACCAATTTTCATTAATCCTGCACAACTTCTATCAACCAATCAAAATAAAGCTTAGTTCAAAAACAATTTTAATGACCAAAAATCTCTTTAATGATAAAAATAACGTAAAAACTGAAAGAGCAAAAAGTAATGCAATTTAAAATAATTTTTTTGAATTTTTTTGACTAAAAAATAGAGACCCGAAAATGACTAAAAACGCTGAAAAATGGACTAAAATCTAACCAAAAAATGAAGTGAACACATTAAAATAAACTACCTGTCTCAAAGATTAATAAAAAAATATTCAAATGACCAAAATCGAAATAAAATGAGAATAAAAATATCAGGCTGAACAAACATTTACGGTTAAAAAACGAGACTTCAAATTGTACCGAAAAAATGAAGCGAGTATACCGTCATTATCTACGCGAAACTCAGATTCATAAAAATGATCAGTAAAAGATGAAAACTTGAAAATATTTTTCTCGCTAATTTTCGCACAATACCGAATCACTTTTAACATTTTGTATGTAAAACCGAAATATTAATATTATTGACATATAAACAACTTGGAGCAGTGCAAGAAACGAGTAAAGAGATAAAAATGCATGAAGTGAAATGTCAGGTATTTTTAACTAAAAGACGATGCAGACTTTGATTTAAACTGACTTTTTCTGGTCAACTTAAATACGACTAATGATGCAAAATGTGATGAATGAATATATTTACTAATGATTGTGACCAAATAACAAAATATGATATGAAAGTGCGACTAAAACATATTAGGGGCGAAATTTAGGGTGCAACAGTTGTGCCTTGATGAATCAGTCTTCGAGAATCCACAATCAACCGTACTTCGGGCTTGGGAGACTCAAAACTTTAATTGAGGCGCGACACCTGATGCTCTTGATTCAGACCTGTCTCTGCACATGACACAAAAGAAAACACGAACATACACCTTTGTATGCGATTAGAAATTAGTGATACATATGCTAAAAATGTTCAAAACACTTGACAATCTTCGCATAGTCAATGCTTGAAGGTGAGAGGTTAAAACCGACTGTATTTCGTGACCTTGACTTATCTTTAAAAATGCAAAAATAAAAATGGGATCTTAGGTCAAAAATTGGGGTACAACAAAGGTGTATCAGGGATCTCCGATGATGCCCCACTAGCAGAAGTCTGTGTCATTTTTGATGAATTTCCAATCGATTCTCTGATGATGCCCCATTTAGCTTCATCTTTTAACAATCGCCATGCATACTCAAGATTGAATGTTGTACCTTGATCTTGAGCATAAAAAGCATGTGCAGCAGCCATGATATCGTTCTCCGATGTCCCACTTTTCTTTCCATTGACAGCTTGTCTATAACACCCAACAAATTTTTGAACCGACGCATTTATTCGATGCCATCGACATTTTAATTGACCACTTAACTTTTCTCGCAATTGCCCGCGATACTGGTTATAATTTGCAGCGATTATATGCCAAAAACTCTCAGCTTTTTGATCAACTCCCACAATTGGATCCTTTGAAACATTGAGCCATGATTGGATAAGACATATATCCTCATCCCTTCTAAATTGCTCTCAAGATTTTTTTTAACGAGAACCCTTTCTTCTTTTTCAACACCAACTTGAGTAGAAAATGGTGGAACTTGAGAATTTTGAGGATTAGGATTTTGATACATATTTGGATTGTTTGGTGACGGAAAAAATATGGCGGGTTTTGGTGGTACTGATGGAATTTGAGAATTTTGAGAATTAGGATTTTGATAATTTTGCATGAAATTGAACATAGCTTGTTGATAATGAAAATGATTAGGATCCATTTGGCCTAAACAAATGTAATTTGAAATAAAAAGATGAAAATTTGAAATAAAATGATAATGAGAAGAAATTGTTGGAAAAAAATTAAAAATTTATGAATAAAATGATGAAATTGTGAGAGAGAAATTTGAAATTAAAGAGTAAATAAAAGTGAGAGAAAATAGGATTGGTATACAATTTTCCAACAAACCTATATTTATAATAAATAAATAAAGTTAAAAATAAAAATAAAAAAATAAAGTCGTTGCACAACGGCTAATTGATTATTTTAATAATAAAAAAATATGAAGAGTCGTTGCTTATATTTGTACCGTTCACCAGCTGGAACAACTTTTTTGTTGACAATTTCAATGTCAAGTTGGCAAACCAATATGAAAAACCACCGTTGGAGGTGGTCTAAATAATTTCTCATTTCTAGGAAAAGGGGCTGAGCCTAATATAGAAAGGGTTTCTTACCACACCCTATGTCTATGAAAAGACCACTATCAGAATCCAATTTAAATTTCAGTTATTTTTGGAGATGTATCTACAAAAGGGAACCGGAAATACAATCTCGGTTAATTAGTGTGGGAAATTAAAAATTCTGTCACTTTTGCATGCCAGATATTACAGGAAGTGTATTTCTGAAAATATCGAAATTCAATTTGCTTAAAACATTGACTAGCATGAATCAGGATGATCACCTTCATTTCCAAAAATTTCCATAAACACTCTCAAAAAATCTTTCTATTTCCAATTAAGTTTTTCACTCCAAATCTTCATTCTTGTGGTTCATCATATCAAAAGGAATTAAAGGAAGTAGAATTTAAGGGAAAGTTCATTTATTTTAACTTACATTCATCACATTAATCTGAGTTTTCATGGAAAAAAAGGTCACGCTAATAACAAAAATGTTCTTTCTGGTACGCAATGAACTGGTCCGAATATACATTTTTGGTTTCTGTCTATGCTTATTTTCCAATAATTTATTCCTTGCTATGGATGTTTCTAAGTTAAATGTTTTTTTTTACATTAGACATGGTGCATCCCGATGCTACTCCCGAACATATTGTGTCCCAAATTGTTTCACTAAAAATGTGAGAAGCCGTGTTAAATTTGTGGTAGAGATAAAACAGATAGCAGATGAAGATGGAAAACTAGTCAAGACAGGCATTATTGTGAAGAAAATTATGGATACATAGAATATAATAAACGCATCTGCAAAAGAGCTATATGTTGATGCTGTTATACATTTTGGGAAAGTGTGCGTGAAATATCCCAATTTACTGAAATATACTGAAAGCCCAATTTTGGATCAAGTAAATGAGAAGATTGTTTGTGCTTGGACCGATCAGATTATGTACCTTGGAAATACAATAACAAACCGAGTTGAGTCTGCTCATGCTTGTCTAAAGAATTGATTGTGAAATAGCAAGGGTGATTTGTGCGGATTGGGAATCTGTGAACCAAATGATACTAAACCGACATAATGAGATACAAACATCATTTGATCGTAGTATCACAGTGTTAGAACACAGGTTCAAAGACAACCCTCTATATTATCAGCTGATCAGCAACATATCTCGATCAACTCTGAATTATATTTTTCACGAAGCCAAACGAGCTTCTAATGTAGGTTATGATAGCTAAAAGTGTGGTTGCACACTTGTGAAAACATATGGTCTCCCATGTGCTTATGTCATATATAAGAAAGTGAAATTTGATTGACCGATACAAAT